CCAACATTTCAAAGGCCTCCATCATTTGATTTGACCATGATTTTCTTCCCCTCCTTTCCTCAATCGCCCCCCTCCCTCCAAACTCCATTTCAAGGAGAAAAATCTTTCCCAGGGCTAAATCCTGACAAATGCTTGCCTTCAACCACCCGCTTTCTCTCACACCCCCTTTGAAATATGTATGCGCATGTTATGCAGTGTGGATGCATATCAATGCCAAGCTATCTACCTTTGCATATTAAATCATTACCACATCTTCGCTGGCAGTAAAATATGCAGAGCGTATGCTAAAGAAAGACTCTCCCCTGCCTAGCCAGAGCAACAAAACATCCCCCATTCTTCTTTCCCCACCGCTACCACCCCCCTTTTCAGCCTCGGCTGAGAAGCCCAGGTATCTCATGCCACTGTCCTTTGTTCTCCTTGAGCAAAAGCATTCCTCTCACTTTCCCTTTGTCATTGGGAAGGACTTCTGTTTGACATTGGAAAGGATTCCATGTTTTGAAATGCCTTAAAAAAGAAGGAAAGGAAATTTTGCTTTTATGCCTTCGACCCCATCTGCACCTTTCCTTGCTGCCTGGACAAAAGAACTTTTTCATTTGGTTTTGTCTTTCTGCATGACTCTATGACTGGATCAGACTAGATCTGTCTGCATGGCAGTCCAAGGCTCTGAATTACAGAAAGCCAGCCAACCAGTTCATGCTGTTTTCCCCACAACTCCTCTTTGCTCCCTGGAGCCCCTTTGACTCGCTTCAGATAGATAGGAAATCAGGGGGGGGGGGGAACCCCACAATATGGTGATATTGACCAAAAAGCACAAATTAAGAAAACCTTCAAAGTTCACAGGCTACTGCATCAGGTATAGATGTTAAAAGCCATGTTAGAGAGAAACTATAACAATGGAAGGCAAGGATTTTAATCTTTCATGAGACGTTAAGGCTGAGTTCAAGAAGAGGGTGGGGAAGTGAGCTGCTAAAGGCCAACGCTTCTTGCTGACCATGAAGCTTTCGGAACACAAAAGAAAGACAAGATGAAAAACTTTTTCCCCCTGCTGTCAGAAACAAAGATAATTCCTTTGAGACCTAGGCCATGACCATGTCTACATGGGCCAAACAAAGCACGATGACCTTGCAACTGCTGAAGAGAATTCACGTGACATAAGGCAGGTTTCACAATAGAACCACCACTTTCAGACATTAATCCAGCATAAGACAAACCACTATTTCCACTGGAGTGTTCAGGAAACTCAGGGGTGATCCTGGTGTATTTTTGTGGTGTGGATAACTGTGTTGGGCTGGTTGTGACCCAATCCAAAATCCACATGTCCAACAGGCCATCCTCTGTGTCACTGTAAAAACAGCTCCCTGGCAAAGCCTTCCTGGTGATATAACTTCTGATGAGGTCTCAAGCCATAAGACCAACAGAAGTGACACTGCTAGCAAGGCTCTGTGAGGAAGTAGCTTCTGGCCAAGATCACCCAGAGAGTTCCTGTGGCTGAACAGGGATTCAAGCCTTCATCCCCAGATTTGTAGTCTAATGTTCAAACCACTACATGTTTTGCCTCTCTATTGGGCAAACAAAAAAGGCCTAAAATAGATCAAACTATCTCCAAAGCTTTACAAATTGCCTCATTATTATTAAGTTATTTGGGGAAAATAAAGTGATGGTTCCAATGTCTAGGTTCTGATTTTGATGTTATAGGCAGTGTGTGTCAAAGGAAAGTAAAGCCTCCCACCTATGGCTGAAACTGAGTGGGGGAAAAGGCAATACAGAGGCAATAATGTTTGACTTCCCACATGCTTCCCTCTGAAATGGTATTTGCATCTTTCCAGATGGAAACCAAGAGGGCTATGACAGAAGAGTCCATATAGACTTCAGACAGAGAGGTTCCACATGCTAGCGACAAGGAGGGACTGTGTGTGCACCTAGTCCATCTTTTTCTCTTTAATTGGATTTCTGCAATAAGGAAAGAAAATAGAAAAACAAGGCAAGGTTACAAGGGCAGGAGGACAAGGACATCTGAAACCCCTGTAAAATTTAGTGAATGAAGCATGATTGAGCATCCTCTGACACTATTCTTTGATTCAATCTATCTTGCAAAAGAAATCCGGAAAGCTAATTAGAGACCACCTCTTGGCCAATTTCAATGAGCTATTGCTTCCGTTACTCTAGGGAAAGGTAGAATGCTGATCATGTCAATCTGCTAGTAGATCTCTTGGCAATTTCACTGCATCACTAAGGATTTATTACTGCTAATTTTTAACAATCACAACATCAAAAAGTGTCTCTTCTCTTAAACTCTATTGCTATAATGGGGTAACCAGGAATTAATCTTTGTGTAGAAGAACTGTGAGCACTCTCCTAGAAAGCAAAACAAATTACTTGGATTAGGATGTTTTACTTCCAAGCATATAGTAGCCAGAAGTCTGGGTTGAAGAGGAAAATGAATAAAACGTAACTTCCAAGCCTAAATTCGTGGGGGGGGGGGGGGGGGGGGAGGTCAGCTGAAACATAAACATGTTATCTTCCCATAGTACCATACATGGACACCATGGCTAAGTCCAACCAGCCTGGGTTCGAAACTAAGAATGGCCAATGTATGTTGATATATATTGTCATGGGGGTGTCTCAGTTAAAAAGGTGATTCAGTTTGGCATCTAGAATTGAAATTTCAGCTACACCTCTACTGGCAGAATTTGTTGATTCAACAATGGGAGTGCCTCATTCTGTAGATCAGTTTTCTCCAACCATAATAATAGTAATAATAATAATAATAATAATAATTTTAGTTCTTGCCTAATTCTCTAGAAAAACTGTATTAGATTATGCTTCCTATTAATCCCATCTAAAATTGATGGGGTGGATGTGAGCTGTAGTGTCTAACATATCCATATATCCAGACACTACCAGTTCCTCATTGTGGTCTGTGTCACACCATCAATAACTTCTTCAATAAAAATGATGGTGGGCTGACAAGGAGGTACCACTGAATGGATGAAGGGGATATTTGGGTTGGCAGAACAGAAAGAGAAAGGAGATGCTTTAAATGTTTTGGACTTTAGTTCCCAAAATTTCTGACCATTGGATAAGTTGGCAAAGGCTTATGGGAGTTGGACACCCAAACATCTAGAGAGCCACAGGTTGTGCAAGCCTGCTTTAGAGAAAAGATCTATTTGACAAACAAGCCATACTGTGTGAAAAGCCGAGTGGCCTCCTCATCTTTTGAGATCTCTAAATAAAGGTTGGATCAGTATCTTTCAGGAGTGCTTTATTTGTGTATTCATGAATGGCAGTGGATGGCTTTTGTAGTCCCTCTTAGTTCTAACATTCTGTGATTCAAAGGTAACTTCAAAGGTGGTTTTGAGAAAGTGGCTTTAAAGTTAGTTTATTTCAAGTTTGATCTTATAATATGAGAAATATTCATGTTAGAAATATGGGGTAGATGTGCTCTCTGGAGAATGGAATGGTTGCTCACTGGGCAGAAGAAGTGTGAGCTTTCCTTGCCTCTATTCCATATTTTCACTCCATCTCTATACCCACTGTAGCTTTAAAAAATACAGACATTTGTGTGCATCATATATAGTTACTCTCAAAAAATGCTGTAAGATTGATATAAGTGGCAGAGAATGGAGCATTCCTCATTGCACAGTCCTGTTACCAAATTCTTCTGAAGTGTCTTCTGAAGCTGACCCTCATCATAGTTGAGAGGAACCATTTGTGTCTGACCCAGTGAAGTGTGAGTAAAAGTGAATTTTGATGAGGCTGGCCAGCTAACTACCACTTAGCTTTGAGGGCTTTCCCATCTTCTCAGAATTTCTACCTGCAGTTTTCTGAATCTCTTGGCCTTTTCTTCCGGGCAACCTCTTGCTTGCCTAATTTTGTAAAAGCAGGCAAAAATGAGAGAAGCTGTCAGTATCAAAGGGAGAGCTCACAGAACAAGCAAGGAGGCAGAAGGCCTTTTGCTGCTCTGTAAGTTGTCAAGTGCAGCAAGATTAGCAAGGAGCCTTTTCCCTCCCAACTCCCGGGTGGCTATTTTCTTCAGCTGCCCATCGATCTGTTCACCTTTTGCTGCTCTCAAGCTAAACCCCTGGGTGCTCTATCGTTCAGTGTCCACGGTAATATGGGAAAGCTGCTCTTTCACTCACAGCAATTAAAGTGTCTAAGAGCTACATGGGAGGCCAGGGCTGCTCGTTTGATCACATTTCTCACCTTTGATGCGGAAGGTCATTCGTTCAATTTTTTCACCAAGCCCTTGGCCCTCTCTCTGTGTATTGCCGACAGTGACATGAAGAGATGGAAAATGGTGTGTGGGAAGCAAGGGTAGAGATCGAAGGAGACCACACCCTGCCTACTTATTTGAAAGTAGTGGTGGAAAGGGGCAATTGTGACCTTTCAGAAGCTGTTGGACTGCAACTCCCATCATCCTTAAGCAGCCTAGCAAACAGTGTGAGATGGTGGGGTTTGTGCTCCAACAAAATCTCAAGAGCCATATTTCCTCATGGTTGTCATAAAGAGAAGATCTGAACCACCTAGGTCTAGCGGTCATCCACACTACAGAACCATCTATTTTTCTGTTCACAAGCAACATCCTGTGAAATCCTGAGATTTAGAGGTTGAGGGAAGAGCATTTGAAATTCTCAGGAAAGAAGCTTTTCTAGTATATCTGCCCAAACTACAAACTTGAGAATTCCACAGGATATTCAGCTATAACAGGTTAAAGTGGGATCATAGCACTATAACTGTATAGTTTGAATGGGCCCCTCATTGTTGATGGTCCTCCTGCTGTTACTATCAATAGTATTAATAGTATTTCTTCGTATTTAAACATTTAAACAATAAAAGATACGCAGAAAAATGAGCATTCTATTTTTATTTAATTTTAATCAATCCTTTGATAGGAAAACTGCCTAGGGGCAGAGTGTGCCATCTGCAAAGAAGGGACAAAAATGTTCAGATATTTTGTTCTTGCATGTAAGAATGAATAATTTCAATTGCTTTTATTCAAGCAGGGAAAATTACAAGAATCTCTGCATGTTTTGGGAGTATGAATGATGTAATACTGAACAGCAGTTCAGTGTGAAGAATCCTATCTTGTGCATTCAGAAGAAATAAGTGATGGATTGCTCTGAGTGATGGTGAGTAACAAGTTCTGAGCACCTTCTTTATATATCCTAAAACATTCCCAAATGACCCCATGAATGTTCACTCAGAAGTAACAGGGAGAAACGTGCTGCTGTTATGCACTCAACAAGTCTCAAATCAATGCCATGTTCACAGACAACCCATAGTCAACCCGTCTCTTTCCCTGCCCTCTCCTCTATGCTGGAGGAAATTTGGGAATTTGATGACCACTTCAAATTCCATCCAATAGTAGAACCACCAACTCCTACTCACTAAAAACAGTTAAAGTATTTATTCTCTGAGTGCATAAATAGGAAAAGATTTCATCATGAAAGTCAAGGAACTCCACTGGACACATTTTGTTCATTTCAGTGGGAAAACAGCAGTGAAGAAAGCAACTGAGTTGGTAGTCTTAAACCTTTATTAGACAGTAGAAAGACTACGATATTTATTGGGGAGTTCTCATTCAGACAGATCTATACTTTCTCCAGGAGTTATGACTTCCCCAGGATGTTTGTATGGCAATCAAAGTGGAATCATAGTGCTGTTGTGTTGAGTGAAAGGGCCAAGATCTTTGCTTTCCTAAACATGTATATTATTATTGTGTGTCTTGAAATCATTTCTACCTGATGGCAACCTATCACATGGCTTTCATGGAAAATTTGTTGGGAGAGGGAAATGTCTTCTTCTGAGGCTGTGTGACTCACCCACTGGTTTTCCATGACCAAGAAGGGATTTGAACTCTTATCTCCAGAAATATAGTTCAATGGTCATTGGTTCTATAATTTCTGTTTGCCTCTTCATTTAAAAAATGGCCAATAGTTACAGTATGAGATGTATGTATCAATATGCACATTCACCATCCTATTAGCATGGAGGGCACCAGCAGCCAGTGTTCCTCTGCCTTTGGAGGTATCCTGCATCTCTAGGATATCCAAATACATGCATACAACTTAGTTCATAGAGGTATCTTCAGAGACGAGAAGAGAGTACACATGTGAACATTAACGGTGGAGTTGGAAGCAAACTTCTAGATGTCCTTTTCTCCTCATTCACTGTATATGCATTAAAAACTCTGACAAGAGCTCAGGGAGTGCATTGCCATGGCTGCTGTTATCTTTTTACGGAGTGCTATCTTCCACTGACTACTGATTCAGATCTGCTCTAAGAACAGCAATCATTTGGTGCAGTGCTTGCAGATGGGGCTGCTTGCCCTCTGAAACCCAGCTGGGGCACAAGGTCCACCGAGTCTGCTCGGCTTTTGAATATGGTTATAAGGAGAGAAAATGTGTTCTTCCTTCTTGTTTTCTTAGTCCTTCAGGATGACTCATGACCATTTTAAGCGGAGTGGCAGACAGCAAAGAAAGATTTATCCCATAATAGAGGTAGGGAATTGCTCAGACTCTGAGGTCTCTGAACAATAATCCATAATTCAGAAATTAATACATGGTAGGGGAGACAATGGGATTTGAAATAAGGATTAGTAGCCAAGGCAAAGGGAAACACAGCAGGATTGTCATCTGTGGAGGCTCCGGTTATACACACACCCAATTATAACTTTAGCCGCTGCAAGAGAAACTGACGTAAACCATTAAATCTGTATTATTTTTCGCTTTGTGGTTGTGTGTGTGTGTGTGTTTGTGTTGGGGAGAAGGAGTAGGAAGTGGGAGTAAAGCTTCTTTAAAGATAGAGTTTAAATTGAGCTTTAAAATTATGACTGAGCAAGATTTAATGCTGACAATTAGCCTGGACAAACAGCTAATCGTCCTGCAGGCATAATTTATATATTCTCTGTGCAACAGGGAGAGATTGTCAGCGCATCGCCCTGCAAATTAGTGCAATAAAAGAATCTCATAACCTCTAACAGCTTTGCTGTCTGACAATGAGAGATCATTCCACCACTTTCTCTTGTGTTTCCCTGGCCACAATGAAATCAGTCTAGGCTACCGGGCTGGGCATTAGCTCTGATTTCCCTGGCTGATTCCCAGTTGGCTTTGGGAGGGCTTTCTACTGACTTTTAATGAGACTGATATGATTCACCATGAGAAGGGAATTAAGCCAAAAGTCAAATATGATCAGGTGGAAAGCTACAAGTTGATACTGGAGCCCAGACTGATGGGCCACTGCATATCCTCCACCACTTTTTTGGGTGCCTTTCAGGATGCCTATATGGCAGGGGCAGTCAACTGTGTCCTTCCAGATGCTTTTGGACTGTAACTTCCATAAGCCCTTTCCATTCAGGTATAGATGGGGCCTCAGATATTCAGATTCCCTTTCTTCCCTTAAATGTGCATGTTCACATAACAGATTGCCACAAAGTCCAAATAAACTCCATGTCACAATGCATAAGCCCATCTCAAACTATAGTTTAGACCTGTGTCTAAGAGACAAGGTACTAGCTATGGTTTTTTCATTTGGGTTAGTGATTACATTGGCATAACTCAAATATATAGAATATGTGGACTTGTAATACTGGTCTCAAACTTTCCTCTCCTGCTGGTGTCCAAGCAGAAAAATCAATTCAGATTCTTCATCCTGCCCTTAAAGTCCACCTTCCACCTCAGTACATCTTTCCAACCTCCTTCCTACTTTCTCTCCTGCTAATCAGCCTGGCTCTTGACACTGGCTGTTCCCAGCATCTTTTATACAACATGGAAAGCGAACGTGGAGGGGTTCTAGTGTCTATTCTATTGTTCCCTGTAGAAATTTTCCACCTGATTTTCAAAGGCTATTTACAATTATTCCGCACAAAATTTGTGCATGGTTGTTTTGCACATAAAATAGTATTATTTCATATACAGGAAAATATGTTTCCTGCACAGAAAATTTTGTTTTCTATGCAAATAAACTGTATGCCTATTTCACAGAGAATAAACCCCCAATTATAATTTAATGATTTCTTTGTATCTGGAAACACATTTTTAATTTTTTTTACCCTGTTTTCCATCCTAGGATTTTTTTTGCTGAAGGAGCATCATAAAAAAGTCAGTGCAACAGATGGATAGAGATGACTCATGCAAGCCTTCTTATTTGCAAGTACACATTTTATATGTGAACCCTAATTAGTAGCCTCACTTATGTCACACAGACACATCTGAAAGGATCCAAAACAATATCAATACCTTTTGAAGGAATACACAATTGAACAAATAAAAGACCCCATGATCCAATGAGCAAAAAACGTAGGGTGAGCAATACATTTAGAAGAATGGGAGGAACTTTGGAAGAACAGACAATTTACAAGAAGTTACTCTGTTAAAGAAAAGTTTAACAAAATGATCTACAGATGGTACATAACTCCTGAAAAACTCTTGAAGATAAATAAAAAATCTAATTTATGCTGGAAATGTATCCAAATGACTGGAATCTTTTATCACATGTGGTGGACTTGCCCAAAGGCTAAAGCGTTTTGTCTAAAAGTGCATACTGATATTGAAAACATAGTAAAAAATAAAGTAACACTGAAACCAGAAACTTTTTATTGGGACTATTAGATAAGCAAATACTCAAACACCATGAAAGGATCTTCCTGTACATGACTATAGCAGCAAGAACACTAACATCAGATGAATGGATTACTTTTTTTTTGCTGAAATAGACAAAATAACATTAATCCTACAGTAAGAAGCTATGCAAAAATTGCAAGAAGAATGGAAACATTTTATGGATTTTATAAAAACTGGAAGAAGATGACTGCAATAGGATTTGTGAACTAAAAGTATTATGAAATAATACATATATATATATAAACTATATAACTTGTATTTAAAAGGTAAAGGTTTCTCCTGACATTAATTCCAGTTGTGTCTGACTCTGAGGGTTTGTGCTCATCTCCATTTCTAAGCCAAGAGCTGGGATTGTCCATAGACACCTCCAAGGTCATGTGGCTGGCAAGACTACATGGAGTGCTGTTACCTTCCTGCCAGAGCAGTACCCATTGATCTACTCACATTTGCATGTTTTTGAACTGCTAGGTTGGCAGAAGCTGGGGCTAACAGCAGGAGCTGACACCGCTCCCTGGATTTGAACCTGCGACCTTTCGGTCAACAAGTTCAGCAGCTCAGCGCTTTAATCCACTGCACAACTTGCATATCTAAGAGCAAAAAATGTTTTAGTAAATGGATGAGTTAATACTTCTGAAGTAAAATAGAAAAGTGTATAACTTCAATAAGTCTGATGCTATAGTATATACATTTATATAAGATTTATTATGTGTAGATCCTACATGAATGATAATTATAATAAATATTTATATGTATATTACTAATCTACTAGCAAAAGAAATTTAAGATATGTATATAGTAGGCCTGGGTAACAACGCAAAAATTTGTTTCTAAAATCGATTTGTAATTGGGGTGTTTTTTTGTTTCGATATTTAAAATAATTACAAAATTTTCCCTTAAAAAAGTTCGGTATTTACGAAATTTCGTAAATATTTACGAATCAATTCGTAAAGATGGCGTCCGCGTTAGCGCATGCGCAAAGCGTTTACAAAAGTTCGTAATTTGTCGGGAATAACGAATCGATTCGTTAAGATGGCACCCCGCGTTTAACGCATGCGCAAACCATTTACGAAAATTTCGTTATTCGGTAAACCCGGGAATAACGAATCGATTCGTTAAGATGGCGCCCGCGTTAGCGCATGCGCAAAAACATTAACGAAATTTCGTTATTCGTAAACCCGCTAATAACGAATCGATTCGTTAAGATGGCGCCCGCGTTAGCGCAATGCAAAACAAAAAACCATGCAAACAAAAACATTTACAACATATACAGCTTCATTTAGATAGATACATTTAGATGGGACATGGAACTCATTTTCTGTTTTTTTTTTCATATACATTAGAAAATGAAAAGATATTGCATGAGCAGAATAGAAGGGAGTCAATTTTTTGTTTTTTGGATTTATGATTTTTTTCCTCCCTTACCCTCCCCCCTTCCCCCATATATTTTCTCTTGTCATCCACGGGTGTTGGTAATTAAAAGAAATGTAATAATTAAAAAAACATATCTTAATAAAATAATCTAACTAAACATAAACAATAATAACAATAATAAAATAATCAAATAGAATATAAATCAAATAGAATAAAAAGTTAAACAAAAAATTAAAATACAGTTGCTAAACAAGAAGCAAGGTAAGAAATTGAAATTAAATTACTTAAGACTGTAATAAAATATAATACATAAAAAATGTAATTATCATATTTTAACATAACAATACGAAATATAAATTATTTATTTATAATATATTATTAAGTTATAATGTCAAAAATTACAAATTAATTTTTAAAAATGCAGAAAGTAAATTAAATCAAAAGAAGAAAGTATCATAAATTGCACTTTGAAACAACTATGAATATTAAATTATGGGAAATTATCTGGCTGGGCGGTTTTGTTCGACAATTTTGTAAATTGGTTTTTTTTATAACAGAACAATATCGACATTTCTTTCAAACCTGGAAGTGTTTTTTCTAAATCGAAGCAGCATCCTCCTTCTTTTTTACGGACTTCCGCCCGTTCATAATTTCTGTAGCAGTTCTGCAAGTACGGAGAAATCCCCACTGGGTGGGTGGGTGGTTCGAAATCAACCACCCAATTCAAGGGAACAATGGCTTCAAACTACAACAGAGGAGATTCCATCTGAACATGAGGAAGAACTTCCTGACTGTGAGAGCCGTTCAGCAGTGGAACTCTCTGCCCCGGAGTGTGGTGGAGGCTCCTTCTTTGGAAGCTTTTAAACAGAGGCTGGATGGCCATCTGTCAGGGGTGATTTAAATGCAATATTCCTGCTTCTTGGCAGAATGGGGTTGGACTGGATGGCCCAGGAGGTCTCTTCCAACTCTAGGATTTTATGATTCTATGGTACCTCAGCAAACTATAACTCTCATGATTCCATAGCATAGTCCATAGCTTCTTATTTTGTTCTTTCCACTCAAAAGAATTTATAGTTCTAGTTCTTGCTAATAGGCAAAGAAGAATTGGAAAGAGAATTTTAGGGCCGTAGTTGTTATTTCTTAAAGGAAAGGAAGTAAAATAATTTGGAAAAAGGCAATGCAAAGCTGTTGCCATAAACTGGATAATTAGGAGTTTTGCCTTTGCAATCACCCATTTTTATCTAGTTGCAAAGGAAATGCGTATGGGGCAATTTTTCTTAAAATACCTTTTTTTTTGTTCAGCATTTTTGGTCAAAAATTCCAAATAACTCCTTCAAAACAAGTCTGCCTAGCTGTTGCCTAGTTAATGCATTTACTTACTCCAGTTTTTTCTCTCTCCTGGAACCACAAAGATATTTTTTTTCCATGGAGAGGGAACAGAAAGAATTCTTAATCTTTTACCAGCAGGAAATTCATTGCCTTTGAACCCAGTTCTTTAATTTCTATGCATTTTATTTGCAAAATAAGGGTTCCTTGACCATGCATCTCTTTAACTCCAGTTCTTGGGCAATTTTTCTTAAAATAACAGTTTTTTTGTTAAGCATTTTTGGCCAAAAACTCCCAATAACTCCTTCAAAACAAGTATATATCTTTCACAGTATATTGGCCGTCCCCCAGTGAGACAGACTGTAAGTCCTCCCGGGGTGGGCTCTTGACCCTGCCCCCCCGGGATTGACTGCCTTTTTGTCTGCTGAGAGAAGGCCGATACCCTTCCCGGCCTTCTCCCTCCCATGCCCTCCCGGGGGGACATTGCTCAGCCCCCCCCCGGGAGTGTCATGGTGTGCACATATCTTTCACAGTATATTGGCCGTCCCCCAGTGAGACAGACTGTAAGTCCTCCCGGGGTGGGCTCTTGACCCTGCCCCCCCGGGATTGACTGCCTTTTTGTCTGCTGAGAGAAGGCCGATACCCTTCCCGGCCTTCTCCCTCCCATGCCAGTGAGACAGACTGTAAGTCCTCCCGGGGTGGGCTCTTGACCCTGGCCCCCCAGGGTTGGCTGCCTTTTTGCCTTCCAGGCTGTTGCAATCATGCAGTATGGTGGAACGGGAAGGTTTTCGCTGATTTGTTCAGTTCACCTCCTGGCACCATGGTACAATACAGTATCCCGAATTGCAAAACTTTCTCTCGAACAGTCATTGCAGCTTTGTTCGAGTGATGAGTACTTGCGAGAGATGATGAGAGACTGGATACGGCATACTCATTCCGGTGGTACTAACTCGGGATTCATGGTCACAGACGCAGGAAGGAACATGATCCGGGCGGTCGAAAGTGCCGGCTTCTCAAACGTAACATGCATGGCGCATTTGCTGCATAACTTTGTAAAAGATGGCTTCAAGGGGCCCGATGAGAACAGCGCCACCGCCGTCACTCAACTCATTGACCGCTGCCGAAGAATCGCGGCCTTCTTCCACCATAGCTCTAAGTCCGCAAAAGTGGAGTGCCTCCCACAACACCGGTTACTGCAGGATGTCCCCACCCGCTGGAACTCCACCTGCATCATGTTGGAGCGCATGGAACATCTTTGTCAGCCCAAGCTGGTCCCCAACAACCAGGAGTGGATGACCATCACTCAGCTGGTCGAGATCCTAGAACCATTCAAATTAGCCACCGAAAATCTTTCAGCACAGAAAGCACTACTCAGCCATATGGTCCCTGTCGTCCTGCATTTGAAGAGGCATTTGGAGTCGCAGGGTGGACAAAGTACATTGCAATCGTCACCCTCCAACGTAACTCGCTCGACCCCCTTGCTGTGGAAAAACTGGTCTTCTTGAAGGCCAACTTGCCACTTTTGGGCTATCCTCAGATTGATTTTGATAGCACGGACCTGTAGATCACTACAGCCTTTTTTTTGTAAGTCGCTGGGTGGACAAAGTACATTGCAATCTATGGCTGGGCCCCTGTTGACTCCACAGGCTCAGGAGGTGGTCAGAAAGTTGACTTTCGCCATCCGTAAACGTCTTCACATTTGTCTTTGGTGAAACAAAAGCTGTTTCACCGAGTTGTTGTGTGTCCTGTGGCTGTTTTTGCCCCACTACAGGGCAAGCATTTTGATAATTTTCTTTTTTAAATCTTTTACTACTAAATATTTCTTTTATTCTTAAAAAAAAATTAAAAAATATTTTTTTAAAAAGAAAACACTGCTGCACATTTGTCTTTGGTGAAACAAAAGCTGTTTCACCCAGTTGTTGTGTGCCCTGTGGCTGCTTCGCTCCACAACAGGGCAAGCATTTCATTTGTGTAGTTCCAACCAGTGCGGCCCATAAGCCAACACAAAGTGCTTACAGTGCTCATTATTTGTGTAGTTCCAACCAGTGCGGCCCTTCTGCTGCGACCCCCAGTTGAAGACTTAAGGCCAAGTTGACACACATATTAAC